AATAGAATAGCTCTAGTAAGCTCTAGCACATGTCGGTTCTTGCGCTCAACCACCCCATTCTGCTGTGAGACCCCCAGACACGACTGTTAAGCAAGAATACCGCGTTCTTTTAGCACAGACTGGAGGGGATTTGAGGTGAATTCCCCACCCGGATCAGACCGAAGAATCTTTACCTCCCGACCGAACTGCGTAGAAACCATCTAAAAGAACTCCTTGGCTGCAGAGAGAAGATCAGACTTCTGCCGAAGAAAATATACCCACACATATCTGGTAGCATGATCAACAAATAGAGCGAAATATCTGAAGCCAAGACGAGAGGTCACAGGAGAGGGCCCCCAGAGATCCGTATGAGCAAGATCAAAAGGCTCAGAATAGAGTGTCATACTGGGAGAAAAAGAACTCTGGGACATTTTTGCTTGCAAGCAATGAACGCACAAATGATCAGACTCAGAGGAAATTTTACCAGACAACCATTTATTCCAAAACATAGTACGCAGCAGAATGAGGATGACCCAATCTAAAATGCCATAAATCCCAGTCTGATAATGCTACCGAAAATCCCTTCCTATTAGAATGACAATGGCCCGAAAAATAACCCCTATCATTATTACATTTTTCCATGCAAGTGTCCACTCCTCCTGGTTCCATGCGAGAATGACCTCCCTCCAACTCCTTCCCATGCAACGACCCCATCCTTCCATGCAAAAGAGCATCACCATCTCCTGGCCGAGAGTAACGATCGAGCAGGAAGGTACGTCCATATTTACTCCCTTTCTCGATTTCCTTCCCCGTCCTCGTGTCCTGCACAGTACACCCACCAGCATAAAAAATGACCCGACACCCATCATCAGCAAGCTGTCCCACCGAGACCAAATTAGGAACAAGTTTAGGTACATATAGAGTATCAAGAAGAGAGATACGAGGCTGAACAACACGCCCAACCCCCTGAACTTCCATTTCCGAACCATTGCCGGCCTGAAGTGCCATCTTCAGAACCGAGAGATTAAGAGAGTCAAACGAGCTTTTGGAGCTCGTCATATGATTATACGCAGCCGAGTCTATGTGCCAAGTATTAGAAGAAGAAGTAGGGACATTACCAGTGGCAAAAGCAGAGGTCAACGCAGATGGCAAGGATTCCTTCAAGGCCTCTTGTACCATACGACGTACATCAGCCTGTGTGAGAGGGGATGATGATGAAGCAGCCCCATCCACAGCATAGGCTGTCCCAGCAGGCCGCGATCCACCACGATAGCCCTGGCCACGACCCCGACCTCGACGAGCAAGAATAGGACACTCCCCAATTAAATGTCCATCTTCTTTGCAATAATTGCAAGAGTTGCGCTTCTTGCAATGGAATTGAATGTGGTCGGGCTCCTTGCAGTAATGACAAATAATCTCCCCCTTGGCAGTACGATGGAACTAAGGCTTACCACCCTGAACAGCAAATGCATGAGCATTGTCATGAGCATGAATATCCAACTTCGATTGGCTGTGAAGACGGGTCTCTTCACGAAGGAGGGCAGGCAGAACCTCCTCCATGGTATCCACATTACGATGAAGAAGAGAGGCGCGGATGCCCTCAAACTCAGCACGCAAGTTCATTAAAAATCGCATAACCCGGGATGCAGCTCGCTCGCGAATGACATCTGTCGAGGCAGCTGTCGCCACCAAGGAAGTCAGCAACAGGTCGTGTTCAGTCCAAAGTGTCATTGCATCCTGGTAGTAGGTGCTCACATCACGATCACCTTGTTTCAAATTCGCAAGATCCAGTTCCACATCAAATTTACGAGATGCGCTAGCCTTCGAATACAACGCGGAGAGATGCCGCCACATATCAGCCGCTGTAGAGAACCCACGCAGACTTAAGGAAATACCCGGATCCATTGAACCCGGCAACATAGACATAACCGAAGCGTTGTTCACCACCCAATCCTCCTTGACCTTGGCGGACGCATCCGCCGTAGGCTCCGGGATCGAACCATCCAGAATTCCAAGCAAACGACGACCCTGAACATAAATCCTGAACTGAAATTCCCAAAGCGCGAAATTCTTACCATTGAATCGAACGGCAATAACGTCTCCCTTTTGTCCCTCCATAGTCGAGTGGCAAAGAAGAACTCCCGCAGCAAAGCACGTACAAGATCCAAGCTAAATTCCCAAGATGCCAATAACACAGAAAGCAGCGGACAAAACATGTACAAGATCCAACGAAAATTCCCAAGAGGCCAATAACACAGAAAGCGGCAGACAAGCCCCACAAAACTCACGAAGACAGAATCGGTATAGCGACCAAGCCGCGCGAAACCCACAAATACAGAATCGGCACAACAACCACAAGAGCACAAGCGCAAACCACGGAAGTCAGAGATTGATAGGCTCTGATACCATGTCAATAAACACACAATCAATCACAAGAACGAACACCGGATTTACGTGGTTTCCTCAACGTTGAACGTTGAGACTAGTCCACGGCACAAGGCAGAGAGTTTTTGGTATTATTTCGGTACAGATTACATCAATACGGCGGCTACGCAACATATATATAGTGGCCGCCTATTAACCCTATGAGTTAATTACATTTTGGTACTATAACCTCTAACAGTCTAGTGTTTCCAATGAAAAAATAAGTAGGAATAGCCTATTGTGAATAAAAAGTTTACGTTAAAGAAGACAAAGACATTGGTAATTGGTGGAGATAATTGTGCTTTAGAAGGCGAAGGCAGAGCAATAACAAGAAATTCATAATAAACTTTCAAATATTTATTGGCATCGAGTAGCAAATAATGTAACGTCTAATTAAATTTTTAGAAGTCAATTTCCTTGTAAGAATTTTCTTTTTTGTACGTTGAGTAAGGACTTCAGTCAGTAAATCGAGTCAGCATTTTGAAAATTATATGAGTATGATATTTCCAATAACTAAATTATTTAAAAATTTATGGTATGAAATAAAATATCTTGCTTCAGACAATTACTAAGGTTATTTATACTATTAACGAAATTCATCCGGCCAACGGGTGGGCCCTAACCTAGTATCATAATATAAAGGTACAAATTTTCTTATGGTACAAACTGCACGTGTACCTTTAACTCTATGGTACAAGTTCAATTTGGAGGGTTACAAAGCGTAAGGTTTATAAACTCTAATTTAGCGTGGTATGTGAATATTAACTTGATAAGAAGCTCATTTAGTTGGTTTATTGGGACCGAACAAATTAAGCTTCCAAGAGAAAGAAAGAGTTTAAGGGATCCATCCCGTTACTTACCACATCAAGAATTGTCTTGGAATGGACAAGTAACGGTTCAATTACAACGATCCGCAAGGTGCGAGGATCATTAATGAGGACATAGGGTCAATGATGAAGTATCCAGTTGCCCTCCTAGCCTAGCTTGGGTTGCCAAATGCTTGCAAGTTTTCGATTATTGTAACATACTTGGTTTTGTCGTTAGTTGGGAAATTAAGAAAGATGTGTCAGCTGGTTTGATTTGATTGGTTTATTTTATAGGATGGAGCCTGGAGGTTCCCGCAAAACTCGAGTTTGCCTTGTAGTGAATAGTAATTTGCAGACGGGCCTCCGATCCGCACAAATTTGGGAAAGGAAATGTAAATTAGATCGACGAGAGAGAGAGAGAGAGAGAAGAAAGATAGACAGGGTAACTAACCAACTAATTAATAATAATCTAATAGAATTAACGAATGATGGCATATTTGGGTAGTCGGACACTTAGTATATAAAACGCATTTGCTGCACCCATTTTTCTTCAAAGTGATCATCAATCATCAATACCATAACTAATGAAGAACATCACCATGATCACCTTCTCCCGTGCGCTGCTTCTCGTCGCCGCCGTCGTGATCTGCCTGCAGGCCGTCCGACCGGCCTCGGCTAGCGACCCAGCATGTAACTCTTATCAACAAGCACTGTCGGGTAGCTGCATGGACTACTTCACCGGCAAAACCGGCGGCGACCATGTGCCTCCTCAGTGCTGCCAAGTCCTCGCAGCCTATCACTCCAAGTTGGGAACCAAAGGGGAAAAACAACAAGCCTGCAAATGCTCCCACGACTTATTCACTGCCTCTGGGGTGAAGCAGGACCGCCTCTACAAAGTTCCAGCAGACTGCAAACTACCAGTGCAAGCCGACTGCAGCAAGTAAGAAAACTCCTACCATTTCTTTCTGTTCCTAATTGATTCGATCGCATTATTAGTTATTCATATCTCTAACATCGTCGACCATGCTAGCTAGCTAGTGTTCCTTTTCCTTAAATAATTGTATCTAAAATTATTATTTCCCCCCTGCAGGATTAATTAAGTGGATGATCCCTGCATAACATTATTGTTCACCAATCAATCCCGCGCACACATGCAAGGAGTTCATTTTCCAGGAAGAAGAATATTTATGAGAAACAACATATATACTATTATAGATCGTTTTTAAGTAATCTCATCTAAATGTTGCAATTTGAAGGTTTCTTTCTTTTGTACCACGTACAATAAGTGGCTAACCCACAACTTTACTTATATGCTACTTCCTTAATAAATCAAATATTACCTATATTGACAACTAAACCTTTGCTATATAATAGCCCGACAATATTTAAAATGACAGTCAAAAGGGGTTAGAAATAAATAAAAAAAATACAATAGTATATTCTAATATCTCAGCTCTAATCTTGGATGACAACTAACACTAGCCACATTCTTAGCCTAAGAAAATAGATGTGTTGATTAATTTTTGTCACTGGAACTGCTTTCCATTCAAAAATATCAAGCAAGTTAACATCAGAAGATCCTGATCTAGTCTGACATCAAAAATCGACGCGAGTGACTATATGTTTGTATTAGTTGGTGAATCTATTATACAAGTTTGAAGAATGAATTCAAGTTTCATTAAGAATGTAAAATAAAGGGTCCAAAATTTGTGTTCTAATTAAGCAATGGACACATGCCATGCATCCCTCTAGTGCACAAAGTTTTGGAGTCGGCTATAATTAATGAGTTACTTGATTGATTGTGATTTGGGCGGTTGGCGACGCCCGTGCGAACTCCAACATTTCTTTACAACTCAACCAGCGATCTTGAAGTCCACTGCGGACTGAAAACTCGATTTCCATCTTGTCAAGTGCTGGTGATGCGGCCAACAAGGATCGTACGAAAGCCATATCCAACTTTGTAGCCTCAAATTGCTCCATCTTCACGCGGTTGAGTTTCGGCCAGCTACTTTTCTTGTCATTTATAAGCTCTAGAGCCCACTCGTCTACGGCATCATATATGTGTTGCTTCCCAATCTGCAAACATTCATACACGTACAGGAGAACACCCTTACTTGGATGAAAATATCCAAACATGCAGTTTCGTGTAAAACGCCCGGAATGAAATATATATTATATATATACTCACGTACGTTGATGATTAGTTCATCCAAGTTTGAAGAAATGTTGAGGAAGCTAATGGCACACCACACATAGGCATAACACAGTGTGGTGTGTGGCAGTTCATTCAGTCTTAGCTGCTTAATGCTACTCCAGAGGCCGCCAGTACGTAACAAATCTCCATGTTCAAATCCGGTCAACAAGTACTGAAACAGACACCAAACATATAAAATCGTCAGAAGAATTCAACTCGTCTACCCAGTTGCCTGCCAATTGAAGTTCTTACGTTGTAGAAATAACCAGACAGAGAAAGCTGCTCCACTGCTGGAAGGCCGTCTTTAAATCTCGACAAGTTAAAGTATCCTTTGTCCTCAACGAAGCTGATATCTTGATGAACATGCACAGTTTTGAGGAGTGGAGTATGCTTGAACTCCAGCAAGCTGAAGCTCCCCGCGACATGAAAATATTCGAGTTTAGGAGCCTCGATGACGATGCTGATCTTGTCGTTAAAATCGCCGCAGCCTACCATGGTCAATGCAGAAAGCGACGGGCAGTTAAAGCTGAAACGAGCTTCTTCACCACCGCCAATTTTGGGTACTGCCAAACCTCGAAGCTCGAGAACATCGAGCTCAGCGCTGTCGAACGCCACGTTGGAGGATCTGAACTGGCAGCCACACAGTTTCAAGTTCTTGAGCCCGGCGAAGGAGAAAATGCACCTCGGCAGCACATAGTCTTTGATGTCAATGGACAGGGACTCGATGCGTCGGTCGGTCAGAGAGCCGATGATCTGGCCGATCCGATGGTCGGGAAACGCGCTTCTTAGGTCCGGGATCGAGAGGGAGAAGTTTGTCAGGCAAGCACGGTGGCGCATGAGGACGTAGAAAACGTTCAGCATCAGTTTTCTGTTGGCAGCAGATGCTAGTTCCCCTGCAACTGGGTTCACTACCATACCAAATTTGTCATCGAAAACAAGGGAGGGCATGTTCATCCAAATGTTCAGCCATTCACTTGACAGAACACTTGTCTTCGCTGCTTCTCGTAGGGGCAAAAACGTCAGGATGTGCTCCACAACATTGCCTGGCAACTCACTGATTCTGTCTCTACCCGTCATCCTATAAACCCAACCAAACCACAATTAATTTAGCACGTCTAACACGTACCAAGTTGGTACGTACGTACATACACTTGGTTGCTAAGCCTGATAATAGCTTTCACGTTAAGATATATAGCATTCGGTGAATAGCAAAAAGACAAGGAAGAAAATTGAAGCGATGAAGCAAAAATAGCCACAAACCCTAATGTACGTTATCTTTACGCTGACTACTTGAGAAAAGAAAATGAGGGTAGTAATTAAACTCGGCGCTCACCGTGTAGTGGTTATTACGCAGCCTACGACTGCTGATTGCGGCAGCTAGTTTCAGGAGAAGAAGAGGAAGTCGGGGACAGAGTTTACTGAGTTCGAATTCTTTGTATTTGCTTCTGATTTGGTGATTTCCAATCGACTACAAGGAATAATATCTTGTGTATTATTATGAACATAGTGAGGGTATTTATACCCACAAGTGTACAGGTTTACATATAGGACAAGGAAATAGAGTTACATATGAACAAAGAAACTTAAGATGACTTGGATAAAGACTTATCCCTAATACACCCCCGCAAGATGGAGGCGGCGTTAGCTAGCCCAATTTTGGAACGTAACAAGTGATACCGTGTAGACGAAAGCAGCTTGGTAAGTACATCAGCAAGTTGAGTCACAGTGGGAAGATGACGGACATGAAGCTGACGAGCTTGGACCAGCTGACGGACGAAATGGTAGTCGAGAGCAAGGTGTTTCATGCGCGAATGAAACACGGGGTTGGAGCTGAAGTTAACGGCCCCAAGATTATCACAAAACAAGGGCGGCGCAGCGGGCAAACGGTGATGCAGTTCAGTCAGAAGATTCCGCACCCATTGGGCTTCCGAGGTGGTCAACGTAATGGCACGGTACTCAGCCTCCGTGCTTGACCGAGAAACCGTTCCCTGCTTTTTAGACTTTCAGGAGATCAACGTATCGCCGAAGTAGATCAAGAAGCCGGGCGTGGAGGTGCGATCATCAGCCCAGTCCGAGAAGACACGAAGGAAAAGTGGAGAGGACTGGCGACGTATATGCAGGCCAAGAGTGCGAGTACCAACAAGTACCGGAGCAGGCGCTTGACGTGCTGATAGTGCAGAGAAGTGGGTGCGTGCATATACTAGGAGAGTTTGTTCACTGCAAACGCAATGTCAGGGCGAGTGGTGAGGATGTACTGGAGAGACCCAAGAGCCTGACGATAGAGTTTGCCATCAGCAGCGGTTTCGCCATCTCGAAGAAGAAGCCGAGCAGTAGAAGCCAGGGGGGTCGAGGATGGCTTCGCCTCATGCATTTGGAACCGAGTATGTCCTGAACATACTTATGCTGGGAGAGAATGTAGCCAGTGGTAGTAGGAAGGACTTCAATGCCAAGGAAGTAATTAACTTGACCCAGGTGCTTGAGAGCAAACCGCGCGGACAGTTGATCCTAGAACTGCTGAAGAAACTCAGAGTTGTTGCCGGTGAGGAGCAGGTCATCGACATACATGAGGAAGTAGGGGAGCACACCGTGGCGATGATAGAAAAAGAGTGAAGCATCCAAGTGTGTCTTGACGAACCCACACTTGACAAGGAAGGAGCTCAACTCGTTGTACCAGGCTCGAGGTGCTTGGCGCAAGCCATAAATGGCCTGGCGGAGACGTCACACATGATTAGGATACTAGGGTCCTTGAAACCAGGAGGTTGAGCCATATAGACCTCCTCTTGAAGAGGACCCTGCAGAAATGCATTATTAACATCGAACTGAAAAATTGGCCAGCTGTGAGAGAGAGTAATGGTAAAGACTGTGTGAACTGTAATAGGCTTGAGAACAGGGCTGAATGTCTCATGAAAATCGACCCCAGGGCGCTGATGAAACCCTTTAGCAACCAGTCTTGTTTTAAAATGCTCAATCTCGCCAGTGGGCAGGAGTTTGATACGATATAGCCACCGATTACCAATGACGTTGTAGTGGGGCAGCCGGGGCACATGATCCCATGTCTTGTTGGCGCGGAGCACATTAAACTCAACATCGAGGGCACGATTTCAGTCCTCATGTAGGAGGGCCTCCTTGACTGAGATGGGCTCGAGTGGAGGAGTGACTGAAGATGCGGTCACAACCTGCACATATTTACGATGAGGCTTCACAATATTATTTCTTGACCGTGTTACCATGGGATGTGGTGGTGCAGCAGTGCTGGCTGCAGTAGTGACCAGCGGTGGTGCCACGGGTGCGGGTGAGGTGCGCACCAGGGAAGCGACCTGCACAGGGGAGCGAGGAGAGGTGGAGGCTAGACGGGCAAGAGGCGTTGGTGGAAGCTGTGACACCACAGGAAGACATGCAGCCATCCATGACGTAGAGGACATAGGGGACGAGGGACTGGGTGGCCCGGACGAGAGTCCAGGGAACTCATGTTCTACAAAAACAACATGGCGAGACAAAAAAAGCCATTCGGTAGCTGGATCATAGCACTTATAGGCACTTTGTTGATGGGAGTAACCTAGGAAGACACATGGTCGTGAACGTGGAAGAAGTTTATGAGAACTGTAGGGACGGAGCCAGGGGAAACAAAGAAAGCCAAAAACACAGAGTTTGGAATAGTTGGGAGGCACATTAAACAGGACAGTGAAGGGAATGCGACCACGGAGAGAGGAGGATGGTATCCGATTGATGAGGTATGTGGCTGTAACAAAGGCATACAACCAGAAGGTGAGGGGTAAGGATGCCTGATGCAACAAGGTGAGACCGGTCTCTACAATATGACGATGTTTTCTTTCAGCTAAGCCATTGTGTTCTGGGGTGTATGGGGGTGTCAATAGATGGGTAATGCCATGGTCGCTAAGAGTGGAGCAAAGCTTAACAAATTTGCCACCACCATAAGTGTATAGGCGGCGAATGGAGGTTGTAATGAAGTTGGCAACAAGGTAAAAGCAATGAACGTAGGCAACACATCTGATTTTAGGCGAAGAGGATAAATCCATGTATACCGAGTAAAGTGATCAACTAGGACAAGATAATATTGAAATCCATCAACCGACAGTACAGGAGCAGGGCCCCAAACATCCGAATATAACAAATCAAAAGGTCGACTACTAGCAAGACTCGAATCTCCAAAAGGTAGTTTGCGACTCTTATGAGATAGACATGACGGGCAATGCGACATAACTGACGATTTAGACACGGGTAGGGAATTGACACGAAGTAAACGAGTGAGAGACTTGGAGGAGGGATGACCGAGTCGCTGGTGCCATGATTGAGCAGAATGCCGAGCTGTCACCAACGCCAACCGAACCGCCGATGCCCCTCCTGGAAGTTCGTAGGTATCACCCTTGTTCCTTCCTCTCAGTAGTGGCACCCCCGTGCGAAGGTCCTTCACAAGAAAAAAACCAGAGAAGAATTCCACCGAAATCGGGTTAGTGCGACATAGTTTAGCAACATAGATTAACCGTTGCTTGATAGAAGGAACATACAACACATCTTTAAGGGCAAGGGAGTGAGTAAATGTAGACAATTTGGAGGAACAGATATGAGTGATACGCAAACCTGAACCATCACCAAGATAAACCTCATCAGGATCCGTGTAGTCAGAGTAGCGGCCAAGATTTCCGAGATCATTGTTCACATGATGAGTAGCTGCCGAGTCCATTAGCCAGGAGCCATCACGTGCAGAAGAGTTGGATTGCGTGTTGTGAGCCTGAGGACGCTTGTGAGGATGAAGTTGATAGCACTGTTTTGCGATATGGCCAGGTTTGTCGCAGGACTGACAAAGAACACGAGAGGCACGTCGAGACTCCCCATCATCAGCATTGCGAGGGGGCTCCCTGGACGACTACGAGTCGCCATAACATGGCGAGGAGCCACGGCCACCACCACGACCGGAGTTGCCACCACGCCATCCACGAGCTCCACCACGACCACGTTGAGTGTTGTACGCGGTCGCAGGAGACAGGTGAGAAGCACGGTGAGCCTTGATGTCCGCTTCCAAGGACAGCAGGCGGTCGAGAAGATCCTCAAGGGTGGGCGGAGTTTCGCGAGCCCTAACACCAACGGTGAATTCATTATAGTCGTCGCCAAGGCCGCGAAGCCATAGGGAAACAAGTTCCTCATCATGAACGATCGTGCCAACAAGAGCCATCTCAGATGCCGTAGAGCGAAGGGATTGGACGAACGTGGAGACATCACGATCACCCTTCTTCTCCGCGAGTAAACTATCACGCAGAGACATGGCGCGCGATCGGGAGGAGTTTGCATACAACCGGACGAGGGTTTGCCATGCGTGGGCTGTTGTCGAGGCGGCTGATAAACGGGCATACGCCTTCAGAGACAGAGGCCAGAAGAGAATTGAGGAGCAGCTTGTCCTGTCGAAACCAGTGAGTGTAGGCTGGATTGCGGACAACAATACCATCAACTTGAGTTGTCTCGACTGGTGGCGGAGTCGTACCATCGAGGTAGCCTACAAGATCAAGGACTTGTAGGAGAGAGAGCAGCTAGGCACGCCACGAAGGAAAGTTGGAGGACGTGAGCTTCAAGGGAAGGCTCGTTGCGGGGTTGATGGTGACCAGCGACGGCAGCGTCGCATCGAAGGTGTCAGTAGATGTGACGGAGCTATTGGATGACATGCTGAACACGAATGGAGGCTGACGACTTGAGAAGCAACGCTGAACTGCAAGTCGTCGACGAGGAGCTAGGGTTTGAGATCAAAGCTTTGAAGCAAGAGGCTCTGATACCATGTAAGGAATAATATCTTGTGTATTATTATGAACATAGTGAGGGATATTTATACCCACAAGTGTACAGGTTTACATGTAGGACAAGGAAACGGAGTTACTTATGAACAAGGAAACTTAAGATGACTTGGATAAAGACTTATCCCTAATACTACAGGAATATCTGTTTGTATTTTGTAACAACACAAAATGGAAGACGGTGGGTACCCTAACCCAACCTTAGTTTGTGAGGCCCTAATGCAAGCCTGTTTAGTAAAAGCCCAATGTAATTGGCCAAGCTCTCTACCTCAGCTCTAACCCATCAAAGACGGTCCAAATTTCAAGGATCGATCTCGTTTTCATCTTCGGGTTCGGTCCATCTTATTTCAAAACTTAAATCATAAAGTATATTAAATAGGAAAATGATATTTTGTGAAAACTTTTAATATTTTAGGTTAAAACATGTTGACCTGGCAGTTTAGTGGCGTGTTGACCGTTATGTTGGATCGTTAGTGAACGATTTTGACCGTCCAACATAACGGTCAACTCTCGGGTTTGGCCAATTTAGTAAAGGTTAGGGTTACGATAGGCTATAATGTTATATATTGAATAGATTGACTATAATGTTAAATGTGAGAAAAGTTCGAGGCAGACAAATATATTAACCCTAAAAAATTCATTAATTTGACTTGTTAATATTCACTGAAACTGGTATAAGCATCATGCAAACAGACTAGGTGTAAGCACACTAACGTTTGCCTAATCAATATATGTTATAATTATAATAAATATATAGTTGTTTTATGAAATTAGTGCTCTTTTTAACTATTCTTTTAGATTTGGTGATTTATTATTGTACTTTTTTCATTTATATTATGTTAATATATGTGTTAACATTAATATCTTTGAAGTAATATATAGAGAAAATATTATACGAATCTCACGATTGGGTATGGATATGATATTGATTTTCTACAATATTTTTATGTGAGTATATATGTGTCAAAACAGAACCCGAATCGAGTAACCCACCCGTTCAACCCGACACGCAACCCGACCATAACGCGAACCGACTAAAAGTCAATTATCCGTAACCTGATTGAACTCAAACTCGATGAACACGTATCCGATGAAACCACAAACCGATGAACCCGAAACTCGATTAACCCGCAACCCAATTGAACCCAACCCAAACCCACCCGATTGACAAGTATATGTGAGTATATGAGTATATGTATGAATAAAACCTTAACTATATTTTGTAGGCCAACGAATATTCACTATCCGTCTCTGAACTGTTGCCAACCCAACTCTCCGTTGGCATGGGACGCTGGACATAAACGAGTCGGAGTCCATTTGGATTCCCGTTATGGAGTTTATATGCTCTATAGCACTTATATATAGGAAGGATCACCAGCACACATCAGTTATACCACGATTTGGAAGCTGCTTGAAAGATATAGGAAAGCTGTGAATGTGATCTCTCTTATTTACGGCGAGAATAATAAGTGTGCAGATTACTTAGCTAGTAAAGGCTTCATTTCGTTCAGGTCGCCAATCTTATGTTAAGTTATTGAACTTCGTATGATTTGTACTTTATGCCGCGTCCCAAACCATGATAGATTAACTAGATTTCAATATAAAAGCAGGCACAATTGGATGTCAATATACCGTGCAATTCTCTATTCAGAAATTTATAGCCATCATTCATGAGCTCTCTGCTGCAACACCTCGGGAAAGTTATCACTGCCAATCTGCAACACGATATCACTTCTCATCGGGAAACTAAAAGTCTAAAATTCTTACCACAATCCCAACCCACGAGGCTCCATTCCACCTCTATAAATCGTCCGCCTCCTCCACTCTTCCCGGCAACTCGCCGCAGCTCCAACACACAGCAACTCAAAAGCAAGCAACTAGTTTAAACTATACAGCCACCAACAGAAAAAGCCAACAACCATGAAGAACTTGGCACTGCCCGTTCTCTTCCTCCTTTCTTTCCTCTTCGTTGTAGCCAACGTCAGCGAAGCAGCCGGAATCACCTGCCCTACTGTGACCTCTAAGGCCGTTACTTGTGCTGGATTCGCCACCGGCCATGCTCCGAGCCCTGCCCCTGCTTGCTGTGCCGGGCTGAAACAGCTAGCAGGGATGGTTAGAACGTTGGATGACAAGAAGGCCATTTGTCGGTGTCTCAAGGCCACCTCCAAGTCCATGGGAGTGAAGGATCAGTTCCTGAGCAGGATCCCTTCAGCATGCAAGATCAATGTCGGGTTCACTGTCTCGGTCAACACCAACTGCGAGACGTCAGTAATTCCATATGAAAAAATATATAAAATTCGCATTATGTTCTCCTTTCATTAAGCCCTTTTCAAGTTTCTGTTCTCGACTAATCTGTCGACAATTCTTGGTATCTGCAGGATCCAATAAACAGCAGCAGACGAAGTGGAGTGTGGATCAGAAGGGGGAGGGACTTCGGTTGCGGCCCTTACCAGTTTGTAGCAGTTAGCCAGTGTCGAGTTGAATAAAGGACAGATGAGGGGAATGTATCAATACGATCCTTCAGAGGATCATGTTTTTCTACTTCACGAACATAAATAATAAGAAAGCTTTTTCCTTATATAAGGGTGAAACCATTTTATTCATAAGAGTAAGGCAGGAACATACATGGAAAAGCAAACGCCAAAAGCAGGGGAAACCCTTGCAAGATGTCAAAAGAATAAGGGAAAACGATAAGAAAGCAAACTGCTAAGCTCAGGTGTGTATTACAAACACTAACAGATGCCCTCAGGCCAAACAGCAAGAGCAAGAAGCAGCATGGAGGCAGGACAGCAATCATCCAAAATAGTTCACGATCTCTAAACTATAGGGTGTTTTTTTCTCGATTCTTGAACTATTAGTCTATTACGCATCTTTAGTCCCATGATGTAGGCAGAAAATATAAAACTCCAAACTCTCAACTATAAATTCATCAGCAGCTGTAAATTGCCATGTTGGAAGAAAGGCAGCCTGCGATTTAGACTGTGACCAAACAAACTGTGACCGAGGGCACTGGGATGAAGGTGGGAGACTACCAAGGAATTTCCTGGCCATCCCAGGCAAAGAATTTGCCATTATCGTTCGCCTTTGCATTGTTGATGATGCTTAAGAGCTTCTGCACCGAGAACTCGGTGGTGAAAAGCTTTTCTTTCGGGACATTTTTCTGGAATGGTCTTGAAAGGTCGGTATCAACAGTCCCCGGATGAAGAACCAGGCATACTATTGGATCCTTCTTTCGCCCGAACTCCACCGACGCATTCTTGGACACTGCGTTTTGTTTTGCATCGAAACAGAATGCCAGCAAGCATTGTAAACAATCAATTAATGATGTCAATACATGACACACAACGAATTGCTCTAGGGAGCTTCAGAAGAGGAGCCATACACTGATTTAGGGCAGACTTGGAGCTGCGGTAAGAGTGCCAACCCCCAAGTTTGTTATCTCCAATGGATCCCACTCTGGCACTCAAACTTGCCACAACTGCAACATCTCTTTCCGTACCTTGCCCTCCTCCAGCCTTCAGCAGAGGCCACATGTGCTGCATACAAATTGGCAACAACGCTGGCTCCTGAGTATACTGAATTCTTCCCCCATTTCTCAATACATTTTATATCTTGATAGGAAGTAATTTCCCTAGCAATCCAAGGAACGAGTAGGGGATGGATGACATTCCTAAGCTCGAATGATTCAGCTAAACTGAAAGCATACGACACTAATCAGCCAGAATGACTGGATCATGACTTCAGAATACCTTGATCACTAGAATAGGTCCCACGGCGTTGACCTCATAAGCAAGCATCAATGACGACTTCTCTACTTTGCTCAACGTCGTCTCTGCGCTGGAAGCGAAAGAAATTAGAAACTAACTCCCTCCAGAGGTACCATGTACTTGTATCCAAAACAACATACAGACTGCTACCTGGTTGCAACACATTTGGTATAGACAGGATCCCTGATGCATTCACTAGAAGGTTCAGGTAGCCATACTGTTCCCTAATGGACTTTGCAGATGCCTGAAATATGAGACCCCAAAAATCACATGGCAAGCCAAAGAGTCATAACCCAATGACCCATATAGAAGATCCGAGACCAGAAGAGGCAACGTCCTAATCTTTCACTCTAAAAGCGCTAGAAAGGGAAGGATTACAAAAACCTCTATGGTATTTTCAGCAGTGAGATCCAACGGGAAAATGTTGAGCCGATCAGCATACTTATTCTTCAATTCAAGCAAGCCAGTGGCACCATTGGGATTGCGGCAAGTAGCTACAACTCGGCCATTGTCGTTACTTTCCAGGAGTTGTTTCACCTGTAAGTTGTAAGCAGCAACGAAATCGTAACACATTCAAATTCGGATCGGTAAAAGCAAAAGACAATGAACTCACGAATTCCAAGCCGATTCCTCTGGAAGCGCCCTGGACCATAGAGACTCCGCCTTCTGGTTTGGCCGCACTGGCAGATGCAAAAGCAGCACTTCTCACCAATCTCAGAGCCAGCCCTCCCGGCCTGGCCATTGATGGAAGGCGGCTCACCGCGAAACGCTTCATTCCCTTGGAGATAGGGTTCACAACTTTCCAGACTACGCAACGGAACTACTTCATCCTCGTGTCATTAGTCACTACAATGGTATCGCCCTCTTTCCCACCGGCTCGCCATTAATGAAACCTAGAAGAAAATTTTAATGGCGGTATTACTTCCACGGAGGAAGGAGGAGGAGATCAGGCAGGCAGCTCTCGCGCTAACTGTCGTGGTAGATGGCTCTGGTTCGGTCCCCAGACTTCCACGTGTCTGTGGGAAATGTGGACCTGACCACCCTTGGCCCAAATCGTGTTATGCTTTCTCAGCCCATAGAATAAATAAAAAGCCCAAACAAATCAGTCAGCTAACTGGTGCTTCAAGCTTGTCACATTCCAGGTGGCCCGTCAATCTTAGATCCGTAAAAGCCCCCGGTCAAATTACACCTATGGATATAGAGATGGCAAACGTGTGGGCCGGACAAGTATCTTAATATTCATATCAATCTCGCATCAAGTACGGAAATTGGGTAATACTTCACCATTTTTTATGGCTAGCTTATAACTCGGCTCGTTGGTCGGAATATTTATATTTGATTATTTATATTTTCATATTATGTTTAAGTTTATCAACTTATTTAATTTTATTGACAATCCTTCGATCGAGATGATACATTAAGAAAAAATATATAAATAATTAAATACCCGGTAAAATGCTATTGATTAGTTGATTGTCAAGAAAGATAGAGTGTAAAAGTGCACTTAAATTCCCTCACGAACCATAAATAGTTTGAAACTAAATCTTAAACCTCTCAATCCTACAAAAAAGTTCAATGCTCTCTTTTAGGAACAATATGTCACTAATCAAAAAGAAATGAAAAGTTGTTGATTCAAGTCAACCATATGCTAACAACTTAGCTAAGAAGGGACCATCACAACTTGAGAGCAAACGCCAAAATTAGGGTTGCCTCCAATATACTAATAGACTCGATCAAAGTATTAAGGGAAAAAATTATATACTCCTCTATCAGTTCCAGTAGGTTGAATAAAGAATCGATCGACCTACTTCAGTAAATCAATCGATGATTCCTCGTTTTATGATAGAATTAGGTTGCGATAGCTTCAAAAACCATAAACCAAAAGATCCAATAGCCATCACTCTCTCTTGTACAATAAAATTTGTATACACTCTATCTTCAATCTCAAGAGGCTTATGTTTCAACCAAGAATTCAGTTTTTAATCCTCCTTCTCCACCTCCATTTTTTTAACTCCATTCTATTCGTCATGGATTGATATCGGAGTTGAAATCTTGTATTTGCCAAGTTTAAATCCCCAAAAATAAAATCCTAGTGCCAAGAGATATCTGAAGATTGATTTTCAAGGGCTTTGTATTGTGAAGTGAAAGGGGCGTACAAATTTAAATATAAATTGAAAATGCTAGGACACAACATGTAGTAATAGAATTAGTTTCTACTATGTTGGTCAATTACCAATTTACCTTTAGCGAAAATTAAGGAGAGAGCATTGATTTCAGAATTGAGAAACTACATGAAACTCTTCTTTGGAAATTGCATTATCAAGCACCATTAAAATACATACGGTAGAATTAGTGAGCTTCTAATCATGATGGAAAAAGTCCTTCTTTCTTCTTTCTTCGAACATGACTACATGACACATTTTAATGAAAATATTTGACATTATGTCAAATATCAATTATATCAATGACTTTAAGTGTTGGGATGATGTCCGAAATATATATTTCATGCCATCCCTAATCTAAGTCGGATAGTTATCCAATCAACGAGTTAAGAAAGAAGAAATATTAGGCTTGATTGTATGAACCCAAGTACTGTTTCTATGATTTGATTATATTCGATTGAGGTTTGAATGATTGAATGGCATGAATCCTGATCAAATTCCTGTTGTTTCTGCTTTAACCTAGAATGAGAATATCTGCCTAGGTTAATAGAGTATCCTTGATTGAAGGTAGTGAATTGGTGACTTTAGTCGAGGAGCCAATTCACTATTCTGTACCGAATTCCATTCGGTAGTGGAGGTTTGGTTCGTTAGGGCCTCAATCTGTTTACTCCGGTGGAGGTTAGTCGCCCGCTAGAGACTCAGATTGAGAGGGTCTGAAGACCTTTAGTCGAGACTTCAGACTGTTTGAGAACCTTCCGCAGTATAACTATCATAGAAATTGAACTTGGTAATTACAATCCGGCTTAACTGCAGACTAGGGGGAACCATATCCGGGTGACCTCTCTTAACCTGAAAACAACCGTTTAGTTGCTTTGCTTGCTTGTTAGTTTAGACCTTCACTAAAGTTTCATTGCTAGATAATACGAATTCACTGAGTAGTCATCACATCTAGGACCCGGGTTGACATTGAAACCTAAACCCGCTATACTACGCTTTAGGAAGTGGTTACACTTGGCCATTTTCTAGAGTGACAGTAGGAGTGAGTCAAGTTTTTGGCGCCGTTGCCGGGGACGGCTAGGTTGTTGAAGAAAAGTGATTTCTGTTACTCTAGCATTTTCATTTTCGCATTGAGTTTTTGTTCTTTCCCACTTGTTCCTTCACGAGTTTGCATTGCTTGATTGTGTGCAGATAGTGCATGACCCGTAGCCAGTCGGGAGGTTTACTGCCGTTGGATCCAGAGATTGAACGCATCTTGCAACCAACTTCGGAGACAACAACGAGCTAGACTGGTTACGGTGGAGTACAGAGACGGCCAATTGAGCAGCGAATCCGACGACGAGCACGAGATGGAAGACAAAGACATCCCACAACCGGGGAATGCTCGACAGGCTCCCCCGGTGAATCAGCATCCACCACCACCGCCGGGTCCCACCTTGGAGTACTACTACACTCCACGGATTGCTGACATCCGCCCGGTCATCCTCTATCCGCCCATCCCAGCGAACAATCTTGAGATCAAGCCATGCTGGATTCAACTCATTACATCATCTATCCAGTTCCATGGTTTGAAGGATGAGGAAGCCCGGACACACCTTTCCCGTTTTCTGCAGCTGACGAAAGGGTTCAAGCTGAACGGTGTTCCGGATGACGCAATCCGCCTTCACCTCTTCCCCCATTCTCTGGCGGGGAATGCTAAGAGGTGGTTGGAGACCCAGCCCCCATTGTCCATCACTTCTTGGGACGATCTGGCAGACAAGTTCGTGCACAGGTACTATCCGGCATCGAAGACCACGGAGATTCAGCGGGAGATCACTCACTTCCGCCAAGAGCTAGATGAGTCCCTTCGTGATGCATGGGAGCGGTACATGGGATACTTCTAGCAGTGTCCCCATCATGGCTTCAGTGATGCTTTCACAGTGGGGAACTTCTATAGTGCCCTCACCCCAGACAGCCAGAGGATGATCGAGTCTCTATGCCCAGGAGGAGATATTCTCACTAAGACTCCACCCGAGCTGAACCAGATGATCAGTACCTTGGCTGCCCGCGATCATTCCTGGGGGCAGAGCAGCAGAGGCAGGCATTCCCGGGACCGTGGTGTGCATGCTATGGAGGCCAAATCCGGGTTAGAGCAGCAGGTGGCTGAGTTGGTGCAGACATTGAAGCAACCCAACAGTCTCCTTCCGGGCCGAGGTGTAGCTCCGCCTCCAGTAGCTCAGTGTTAGTGGTGTGAGAGCCCGAACCACCTGGTGGAAGATTGTCAGTCTATGAGGGAGTCCTCTAATCCCCAAGAGCAGGTGGACTTCATCACCAATGCCCGGCGCCTGGACCCATACAGCAACACCTACAATGAGGGATGGCGCCAGCATCCCAATTTTGCCTGGAGCAGCAACACCAACAAACCACCTGGTTTCCCAGCACCAGCAGGTGGTTTTCAGCAGAGGCAGCCCTTCCAGGCTAGGCAGGGGCCCCCACCACAGCAGTAGCCCTACCAGCCTAGGCAAGGGCAGCCATTCCAGCAGCCCCAGCGTCAGTTTGCTCAGCCTCCAGCAGCCGCAGCTCCAGATAATCAGATGGCTGATCTGAAGAATATTTTGCAGGCATTCATGACCACCAGTCAGGCGAATTTCACGAGGATGGATCAGAACATAGCCTCACTGGAGGCAGGCCAGAGAAACCAAGGTGCCTTTCTGCAAGATCTACAGAACCAGATTGGGAGCTTGGCTCGCCAGAACACTACCAGGGCACCGGGGACTCTACCTGCCACCACTGTTCCTAATCCTCGTGACCCTCTCCAGCAGCTGGACGCCATCACCACCAGGAGTGGCAAGACCATATCTGCTGCTCCTGCCCAGCCCAGGCGAGACGACCCACTACCTACTTCAACACCTCCAGCTGATACTGCAGAAGTGGGGGAAGGCAGCGAAGCACCTGCTCCCAAGCCGCAGCCTGTGGTTAAGGAGCATACACCCCAGCTGCCCTTCCCCACTCGACTTCATAAAGACAAGTTGGAGACAGAGTTTGCCAAGTTCATGGCAATGTTGAAGCAGGTCAACATCAGCATGCCGTTCATGGAGGCACTGTCGAAGATGCCCAAGTATGCCAAGTTCATGAAAGACCTCCTCACCAACAAGAAGAAACTTGGGGATCTTTCGACAGTGATGCTCAGCAAGGAGTGTTCTGCTATCCTGCAGAACAAGCTGCCCGAGAAGCGCAAAGACCCAGGGAGTTTCACTATCCCTCTTGTTATTGGCAGCATGCATGTAGGAAAGTCCTTGGCGGACCTAGGCGCTAGCATAAATGTCATGCCCTATAAATTGTTTAAGAAGCTAGACCTAGGTGAACCTAGAGCTACTAGGATGAGCATTCAGTTAGCTGATCGTTCTATCGTGCATCCTAGGGGTATCATTGAGGACTTGCTTGTTAATGTTGGTGCATTCACATATCCTGTTGATTTTGTTATTTTGGACATAAATGAGGATGTGGATGTGCCTTTGATTTTGGGTAGACCGTTTCTCGCCACCGCCAAGGCGCTTATTGATGTGCATAGTGGTAAATTGATTCTGCGTGCTGGTGATGAACAGGCTACTTTTTCTGTGTCTGAGAATGGGAAGCACTCTCATTTGCATGATGACATAGATTACTGTGATGTGCTTACTGACTTTGAGACCGCACTCGCCATAACGAGTGCGGGTACTGATGATGCTCTTGAGCGTTGTATTTTGCTAGGTGAGCAGGCATCGCAGGAGCCGCAGCTGGCGGAGCAGTTGGCCGCGTTGGAGAGTGGCCCCCTCTTGGAGGGCGACAGGCTGTTTAAACCGATCTCATCCTCCACTCGCATCACCACCTCCTTGGAGGAAC